ATACTTAAAAATTCTGAATTTCCTCAGCAGTGATAATGGATATCTACCAAGCTCTAAATAGACCATAGCATTACAAGTATTTTTACGCACACCGAGTAATTTTTTACAAAACATAATATGTATTTTTTCAACATCCGGGGCTTTATGAAAACCCCATATTTCTGAACCGTAACACAAAATACTGTTTACATATGTATCAAATACTGATAGTTGGGTTTCAATATTAAAATAATTATTACGACATACATTCATAACTGAAAATAAAGCTTTCCTTCCTTGATCTGCTATTTTTTGCTGTGTTTTTCTGAAAGTGCCGTTGTAATTTAACAACATACCTAGATAATTAAATTCATTTACGATTTCCAAAGGACATCCGTTATATGTCCAATTTCCATTGTTTCTTAAAATACCACCATTTCTAAAAACCAGCACTTTTGTTTTATCTGTATTGACCGTTAGATCCCACTTTTTTGTAAATGCTTCTAAAGAATTTAACATGTCTTGCAAGCCTTCTGGTGTTTCCGAAAAAATTACCATGTCATCTGCGTACATCAGCAGGAACAGATTTAAAGTTTGAATTTCTATCGATGGACAGTTGTCAATTAAAAATTGCATCTCACAGTCATTTACATATAATGAAAACAATAATGGAGACAAAATTTCCCCTTGAAACAATCCGTTTACACAATTGAAGAAGTCAGATAATGAACCATTATACTTAACACAACATTTTACGTTATTATACAAAGACCTTATTAACACTAATAACTTTCCATCAATTCCTTCCCTTATTAATTTGAACCACATATTTTGTCGATTAATAAAATCAAATGCTTTTGTATAATCAATAAAACAACAATACAATCGTTTCTTATGTTTAAGACTCCGATTAATTATGGCCTGTAATGCAAATATAGCGTCTATAGTAACACTGAAGGGGAGACCGGGGTTGGTTGTTACACTGAAGGGGATACCGGGGTTGGTTGTTACACTGAAGGGGAGACCGGGGTTGGTTGTTACACTGAAGGGGAGACCGGGGATGGTTGTAACACTGTAGAGGATACCGGGGTTGGTTGTAACACTATAGAGGATACCGGGGTTAGTTGTTACACTGTAGGAGGAACCGGGGGTTAGTTGTTAACACAGTAGAGGATGTTACACTAAAGGGGAAACCGTGGTTGGTTGTTACACTGAAGGGGAAACCGTGGTTGGTTGTAACACTGAAGGGGAGACCCGAGTTTGTTGTAACACTGAAGAGGATACCGGGGTTCGTTGTTACACTGTAGAGGATACCGGGGTTGATTGTTACACTGAAGGGGAGATCGTGATGGTTGTAACACTGAAGAGGATACCGGGGTTGGTTGTAACACTGAAGGGGATACCGGGGTTGATTGTTACACTGAAGGGGAGATCGTGATGGTTGTAACACTGAAGAGGATACCGGGGTTGGTTGTTATACTATAGAGGATACCGGGATTGGTTGTTACACTGAAGGGGAGACCGTGGTATGTTGTTAACACTGCATTGGATACCAGTGTTGGTTGTTTCACTGTAGAGGATATCGGTGTTGGTTGTTACACTGTAGGGGAGACCGGGGTTAGTTGTTAACACTGTAGAGGATGTTACACTGAAGGGGACACCGGGGTTGTTTTTTACACTGAAGGGGAGACCGGGGTTGGTTGTTACACTGAAGGGGAGACCGGGGTTGGTCGTTACACTGTAGAGGATAGCGGGGTAAGTTGTTACACTGAAGGGGAGACCACGGTTTGTTATATAACACTATAGGGGAGACCGAGATGGCTGTAAAATTTATCAATAAAATAAGTCTCGAGAATATAATCAATTGAATATGTCTCGAGATTATAAACACTAAAATATGTCTCGTCTATATTTTAACACGAAAATATGTCTCGTGTATACAACACTAAAATGTCTTTTGAAAATATAAACACAAAAATATGTCTCGAGAATATTAACACTGAAATATGTCTTAGGAATATAAACATTAAAATATATCTCGTGAATATTAACACTGAATTATGTCTTAGGAACATAAACACCAGTATATAACTCGTGAATATAAACACTTAACTATGTCTCATGAATATTAACACCAAACATGTCCTGTGAAAATTAACACTAAAATAAAACTCGTGCATATGAACACTCAAATATAGCTCGTGAATAGAAACATAAAAATATGTTTCGTAAATAGAAACACTGAATTATGTCTCGTGATTATTAACACTAAAATATATCTCGTGAATATTAACACTAAAGTGATATCTCGTGAATATCATCATCAAAATATATCCTGTAAATCTTAAACATAAGATAAGTCTCGTGAATATTAACACTCGAACATATCTCGTGAATACTTGAACTTAAATATGCCTTGTGAATATCAACATAAAAAATTACTTATAAATAGTATCACGGAAATATAATAAGTAAATATTATCACTTAAATGTGTCATGATAGTATTATCACTATAATTTGTATTCTATGAATATCAAAACTAAATTATATCTTATGTATATTAACACTGAAATTTATCGCGTGATTATTAGCACGAAATTATACCTCGTGAATGTTAACACGAAATTATTTCTCGTGAATATTAAAACTGAATTATGTATTGTGAATATTGACAAAATAATATTCTCGTGAATATTAATAATAATAAGATACATTGTATGTCTCGTGAATATTAACAACAACAACATATGTCTCGTGAATATTAACACTAAATTATGTTTTGTGAATATTAACACAAAATTATGTTTTGTGAATATTAACACTAAATTATGTTTTGTGAATATTAACACTAAATTATGTTTGTGAATATTAAGACTGAATTAGGTTTTGTGAAAATTATGAAAAACATGTCTCGTGAATAATAACACTAAATCGTTTTTTGTGAATAATAACACTAAGTTATGTTTAGTGAATTTTAACACTTAATTTGTCTATTGCATATCATGACTAAAATATGTCCTTTTGATTATAACGCTTAAACATAAAATAATGACAATAAAACATGTCTCATGAATATTAACAATGAAACTTGTTTTGTAAATATTAAGTTAAAAGTGAATAAAAACTATACAATATTTCTCCTGAAAATAAGTACTGACATTTTTTTAATTGATTTAATATGTTTCGTCAATATTTACAATAAATAATGCTCTTAAATTCTTTAAAAAAAATATTTTACTCAGATGTGAAATGAATCATGAAATAATGAAGACCGCGAAATACGGTACTTATTATAGCTGACAGGGTAAATTGGGGAAAGGCGCAATAGATGTGACGTTATTGCCTTCAATTAATGATAGGAGAAAGGCAAGATAGAGGCTCGCCAATCTAAGTAAATTTAGATATGAATATATTCGATGAATGAACATTTTTGTGTTTTTGTATGCACTAACTTCCATTATATTCTATAAAAGAACACTCTTTTTCTGACGCTTACGCAATTATGATCAAGACGCCAAAAAACAACAGTTCGTTGTTCAAGACGTAATGAAAATAACATCATTATGTACAATGGTTTCCGCATTTCATGTAGGATATCATGATAATGTACGCGCTTTCACAATCAGGTGTAAATCTATGACAAAAATAAATAAATAAATAAGAAAAGCGCGTGTTAAGTGATTGAAACTAAATGTTAATTGTAAATAACACTATAGGAAACATCAACACCTAAAACTTACTGAACACTTTGACTAATTGTTTATATCTAATTACCTAATTAATAAATGAAGGACCAAACTTTGACTCACCTAATGAAGGAAGAAGGTTGCAATATTCCTGGAAACACAGACAAATTCTTCTGACAACCTTAACGTATGATGGTTTCACGAGAAATGGTTTGGTGTGATGACTGCGTTCAAGTTTCACCTCATATGCGTTTCTACAATTAATTTCACAAAAACAACTCAATTCCTCCGTAAAAGACTACCTTTTTCATCTTTACCGCAGGTATACCAAGTTGTATATTTAGTAGGCTTCCTTAACCGGTGGGCCCAGTGTTGGAGTGATAACTATTAACACACAAGCCTGACCTTCCCAGGAACTAAAACAACAGCTTTTGGTTCACAAGTCCTTAACGAGGTCCTCTACAGGGATACATCTGAGGGCGCCGCCACATCCACCTCGGCCCCTCCACCTGTTGTTTTAAGGAACGTGTCCTAATCCTACAGGTGGATTATCTTTCGTCTTTGATTTCCCCGATAAAACAGACAGGACCCATTATACGTCAATAAAATAACAAAACAAACAAACGAGCTCACGGATAACACTGGATTCTAATTTCCGTACGTGTTTGGCAAGATGTTCAGTCGTTAATTAAGATATTATATTTGTTTTTACTGGAAGATACACATGTTATGTAAGAAATGTACATGTTTCAATAACAATAAAGCCAGGATTGAAAGAGATTTTTGTTTTACGTTTTAAACTTGTTTCTTGGTAAAATACATTTTCTAGTTATTTATCAACAATAACTATGTGTATCAAGTGACGATTTCTTTTTCTTTTTTGAACGTTGCAGTCAATGACTGATGTCATCATGTTAGATAATTATAACATTATTTTGATCTTATAGACGGTAGAATGCGAACATCAATATAAATTAGCTGTTTTTTCATTTGTTAGAAAGTAATAAGTATTCTTTAGTCCATCTAAATGTACAAAGCCTGAAACAGAAACTTGATATTCTCTATACTAAACTATTCATTCATACAATGTTATCCTTTACCGAGACCTGGTTAACACCTGACGAGGTGTAGATTCCCCTGATCTAAACCTGCCTGGTTTTCTTGACCCTTTTACTTTCGTAAGGCCCAATACAATTAAGGGGTGGCATTTCGGTATGTGTTAAAATGGTATAACAGCAAAACAAAGAAAAGACTTGGAGATTCCCACTTTTGAACTTTTTTTTTTTTGTGTGTCAAATTCTTTTACGGTACTTTTTACCGTCCTCCAAACTCTCCAGTCCATAGATCTGGCGTACAAGTCCGAAATATCGAACATTATAGTTACCGGTGACTTTAACGCAAATTTGCTTGTAAATACTAATCACAGTGATCACATTATACAGACAATACTAATCACAGTGATCACATTCGAGAGATTTTAAACTTTTCTCAGATGGTCAACACCGCTATGGTATTACTGAAAGATTATCTTCTCTCTTCGATATTGTCTGTGTAAGGGAAAAAAATCCTCGATAAATGTAAAGTAGGATTTTTTTTTAGACCAACCTATTAGTTATCATTGTCCTATTTATTGTAGCCTAAGTATTCCAAGCACACATGACAATTGTTTTAAAAGCAATACATGGTTATACAGACAAAGACTTTTACTTACAGACTATGTAAAAGAATTGCTATGTACTCTTCGTTTCGGTGAAGTATGGCTTAGCCAATTACCATCGAACGCTAGATCCATTTTACCTTTATACGTCAAATCTCTTTGACGTAAACAGATATTTTTGACCAAGCTCAACAATATTTGAGAGGTTCATTAGAGAATTCCTCGAAATGTTTTTTAGAGATTTATTAATATATTGTAAATAATTTTTCCATTCAGTTTTATTTAATTCAGTACATGCCTAAGAAATATAGAATATGTTTAACAAAACTTCGTATGTCTGCATATTCTTTGGCAATTGAAACCGGTCGTTATAGAAATATCGAGCGGAATAGGAGATATTATGTAATTTGTAAATCGACTACTGAAGTAGAAGACGAATATCATTTTGTATTAATATGTAATATGTACAACGACTTAGGAATTAAATATATCAAAAAATACTGTTGGCAAAAACCTTCAATGTTTAAATGAATACAGCTATTGTGTGTCAATAACAACAAGGAATTAGGCCGTCTCGGCAAATTTATTTTTGAAGCAAATAAGATAAGAGCTGTATTTCTTTAACTCGTTCTCCACTTTTGTCTTGCTGTTGTTTCACATTCTTATTATGTATTGTATGTAATATGAACTCATGGGCCGTAAGGCCTACAGTCAATAAATTGAATTGAATGGACTAATTTGATGACAAACGAATTTTGAAATTTGATCCGCAAAAGACGATACATATACATAAGAAGGCTAAACAGACAAAAACGCAAATCACTGGGAGTTAGGCAAACTCGAAATAAGTGCATTAATGTAAAACGTCAATCAAAACGGACGCACTATGACCATTTATGTAAACGTCAATCAAAACGGACGAACTATGACCATTTATGTAAAAGTCAATCTAAACGGACGCACTATTACCATTTATGTAAACGTAAATCAAAACGGACGCAGTATGACCATTTATGTAACCGTCAATCAAACCGGACGCACTATGACAATTTATGTAAACGTCTATCAGAACGGACGCACTATGCCCATTTATGTAAACGTCAATCACAACGGACGCACTATGTCCATCTATGGAAACGTCAATCAGAACTGACGCACTAGGACCATTAATGAAAACGTCAATCAAAACGAACGCACTATGACCATTTATGTTAACGTCAATCAAAACGGACGCACTATGACCAGTTATGTAAACGTCAATCGGAACGGACGCACTATGACAATTTATGTAAACGTCAATCAGAACGGACGCACTAGGACCATTTATGCAACACTTTAAAAAATACCAAACTTTTGACGGTTGCTATGAAAAATCGAGTATTTTTAACGATATTTTTTGCTCCCAAGCTACTATTGACGACTCTAACGTTCCACTCCCCACATATAGTTAGCATATGTGACTAACGTTTAGTTGACATTACTATTTCTCCCATTGAAGTAAGAGACGTTATATTCGTACATAAAGCCGTAGGACCTGACCTGTTTATACATATTATAAGCGACCCTTAAAGTAAAATCTTCTCCAAAATAAGCCTTTCGATCGTTCATGATATAACCTCAGCATTAGATAAAGGCAAAGAAATTCGTATGGTTTTCTGTGACAGAAGCAAAACAATTGATAGGGTTTGGCATCGTGGTGTTATTTTGAAATTATCTAGTTTTGATATTAATGGAAATTTGTTAAATCTTATCACACCGTCACACGATTGGTAGACTTCAATCCCCTCAAAACTGAAGCCCTAACCGTTAGTTGAAAAATTGAACGTTTAGCTCACCCTCTTTCTATGAACAATACCACTATTAATGATGTAAATGTTCACAAACATCTGGGTGTCTACTTATCTGACAATAGCGCTTGGGACAACCATATTAATTACATTATTGAGAAAGTATCCTCTAAACTAAATCTGTTAAGAAAAAATAAGTTTTCTCTTGACCGTCAATTACTTCAAACTTTATATTTTTCATTCATCCGTCCTGTATAAGAATATGCAGACAGTGTATGGAACAATATATATGTAACAATTGTTCAAAATAAACCTTTTAGAAAATCTAAACTTAGAGGCCGCACGTATTGTAACGGGAGGGACTAAATAAACAGAGCTATGTTATATCGGGAAACAGGATGGCAGACGTCAAGCTCACAAACTATTCCTATTTCATAAAATGGTACATGGATTGGTTCCCCCTTACTTACAAGATATCCTCCCAAATAGAAATGCTGATGTCCATACTCATGCTACTAGAGACGTTGGTAAGTTGTTCGTCCAATCTTTTTCGCACTACTCGGTTTAAAAATTCGTTTATTCCGTCCGTCCGTCCCAAAGTGTTTGGATTTTCTCTCTTTCCTGACTTTAAAGCAGAATCATTACTTTACTTATATGGACAACTTAAAAATGTCCCATCATATTTTTTATGTGGAACTAGACACGGACAGATCCATCACGCTAGGCTCAGAATGGAATGTAGCTCTCTGAATAGTCACCTTTATTCAAAAGGTTTGATCTAAAGCCTCTTTGTACATGTGGCTTATCTAAAATGAAGCGAACTTTCACTATTTGTTGCGATGCCCTCTCTGTGATAACCTCCGTGTAACAATCTTCGTCCATATATTACACTACAACCTAACTGCAGAGTTATCATACTATTTGGAAACGAAAATGCCTTTCACCTTTTTTTGTGAATGCTTACTTTTTAACAACGAAAAACGCATCCTGCTCCAAAATTTGAATGCCCTACAATTTTTAAACATGTGCATCATTACATCAAATCCAGCAATAGGTTTTGACAACTATAATTATTTTCCTCATTTTTATTTATGTGTGTACGTTGTGATATGTGTTTATGCAATTGCATTTCATTATTTTTGCCCGATTTCTTTGTTACATTGATTTTATTCATTATGAAATTACTCTACCAGGCTGCATGTCATGATATTTGTGTAATTTATTAAAATGCAGATCCTTTTTTTTTATAGTTTACATGATTTTATTTCTAGGTCATTATTTATAACTACAAAATTAGATCTAAATCCCAATAACAACATGCTGTCCATCTTTAAAATGTAATTTCTATTTGAAGGAAGTGGATTAACATAAGCTTTAAGCTTGGTTCCATATCCTGTTTCTGTATGCTCTTGTGTGTCTACATTGTGTGTTAATTGAAAGAAAGAAAATAACGTTTAAACTCATATAAAATTAGAAAATATCTCCACTTCTAATACACGAATGACTCGTTACCATACAAGAGTAACTTTTAGGACAAATATCTAGACAGTTAACCATAAAATGGGGGAGGCATATATATATATATAAAAAACTATAACTGTACCAAGCGAAACTGACACTGTATTTCTATTTTTCTTAATGTAATATTGTTTGATCTAATAGACCATGAGTATATATGTATAGGATGTGTCATTAAGTTTACCCATTACATTATCTGCCCAGAAATGAATGAATGAGACCCCATCCGGAGTAATACACAAACACAATAACGTTTTATAATTTCAGTTACCTTATCGATGAAATATGATAGTTGCATTTCCAACATTATAGTACATTTGAATCCACTCTTATGATGGGAGTCCACGATTTCATCCTGTACTTTTTAGATTTCAATGCATTGATTATCGATGAAAAATGGATCAGATGTCTAGATGACAGGCATTACTATATTTATTCTCACAATTGGACGGCTCAATCTAGCAAACGACCTCAGTATGTATACCATTGATCTAACCTACTATCTTAAATAGATCTATCCCACTATCTTATACAGACCTAGCCTGCTGTCTCGTACTGACCTAGCCTGCTTTCTTATACAGACATAGCCTACTATCTTAAATAGATCTATCACACTATCTTATACAGACCTAGCCTGCTGTCTCGTACTGACCTAGCCTGCTTTCTTATACAGACATAGCCTACTATCTTAAATAGACCTAGCCCATTATCTTATACAGATCTAGCCTGCTATCATCTATAAACTGCTATCTTATACAGACCTAGCCTGCTGTCTTATACATACCTAGCCTACTATCTTATACAGACCTAGCCTGCTAACTTATACAGACCTATCCTACTATCTTATACATACCTAGCCTGCTGTCTTATACAGACCTAGCCTACTATCTTATACTGACCTAGTTTGCTATCTTATACAGACCTTGCCTGCTGTTTTATACAGACCTAGTCTGCTATCTTATACAGACCTTGCCTGCTAACTTATACAGACCTAGTTTGCTATCTTATACAGACCTTGCCTGCTGTTTTATACAGACCTAATCTGCTAACTTATACAGACCTTGCCTGCTGTTTTATACATAGTCTGCTATCTTATACAGACCTAGCCTGCTGTCTTATACAGACATAGCCTGCTGTCTTATACAGACATAGCCTACTATCTTATACAGACCTAACCTGCTGTCTTATACAGACCTAGCCTACTATCTTATACATACCTAGCCTGCTGTCTTATACAGACCTAGCCTACTATCTTATACATACCTAGCCTGCTGTCTTATACAGACCTAGTCTACTATCTTATACAGACCTAGCCTGCTGTCTTATACAGACCTAGCCTACTATCTTATACAGACCTAGCCTGCTGTCTTATACATACCTTGCCTGCTGTCTTATACAGACCTAGCCTGATGTCTTATACAGACATAACCTGCTGTCTTATAGCCTTCTATCTTATACAGACCTAGCCTGTTGTCTTATACAGACCTAGCCTGGTGTCTTATGAAGACCTAGCCTGCTGTCTTATAGCCTTCTATTTTATACAGACCTAGCCTGCTGTCTTATACAGACCTAACCTGCTGTCTAATACAGACCATGTCTGCTGTCTTATATATACCTAGCGTGCTATCTTATATAGACATATAGCCTGCTATTATAAGACCTTGCCTTTTCCTTATATATAATTAGTTTGCTGTTTCTCTCTTTTTCTAACTATCTTTTGTTCCTTGAAACTTGGTTGGCAATACATCACTTTTGACTTTGATGTTGAGTTATGGGCACGTAATCATGAAACTGTTCTCATGCTCAAGCATGGAGTTTGTGCACAGACCAACTTTTTTGTAAGTTGCTTAAATCATGTACTACTGTCTGATAGTCAAGGTTAACATTTGAAATAGATTGTGGCTTGAAGATCCTGCCAAAATCTTCCAAAAATATTGACTTAAAGAGATTTTGTTATTAATCAATCACTGGAACAAGAAATTAGGCTTGAGCACAGATTTTGAGTTTGATCATGGAACGGTTTCATGAATACGGGCGCTGAACGCAACAAAGTCCATACAAATCGTAGTTTTCATTCTCTGCTGAACGTTCAGCATTTAGAGTAATGGCCCCAAAAACTGGTAAACACTTTATGACGTTTTTCAGTATAATGTGACCGGACAAAAATGCTAGTAGCTTTCAGCATTATTTCAGTGTGGTAGCAGTATAAAGTAGGCATCGGATCCACGTTACCACAAGGAAATAAATACATCTACATACTCCGCCTACGGCACGCATACACATGTGGAGGCATGTCCTTAAATGACCTGAGCTGTTGACTAGCTTGCTGTCGTATAAAGACCTGGCCTAGCCTGCTAGAAAAACCTTAACACATGCAATTGTTTTACGGATCAACGTTAGGTAACCATCTTCCGGCCCTGGAGTCGTCTTATGGAATTATAGCATCACCCGAGGACAGATGACTCCTATCTTCTCCACCTCTACCTTCTCCCTTTCTCTACATGCTTTATTCCGTCTTTTTTCCTTTTTCAATCTTTTCCTGTCTGCTGAAGGCTGCAAGGCCGTAATAGTGGACTTAAAACCATCATTCATAATCAAAATTAATCGTGATTATGTGACCTTTCACAAACATGTAAAAAGTTAAAGGGAGATAAATCTTACACATGACATACCTAGTGATTAATCTATGATATTATATTACATAGTTTGTTTCTAATGTTTAATGAATATTAATGAAAAACTGAATGCAAAAATAACCTTTACAATGGCAATAGGAAAGTAACATTTATTGACAATGAGACAAAAACAGATTTTAATTAGATTTCTGTCATGTACATTGTAGATATTTTTATAGCACCGAAACAAAACTTTAACATTAAATGTAGTAATTCATGTCACAGATATTGTCTTTTCAAGATATCGTTATGCATTATTTGATTGGAGCAGGAAGAAAACCTGTCTGGCCTCAGTATAGATATGGACTGACATCGTCCCCAAGCATAATATTGAAAGTCATTACAATTGAGGATATCCAACTTGTGATGATTGTAATTTGTATCCAATAAAATCCTCAGAACCTACCTGATTAAGACTGTATTCTCAGGTTATACTTGAGAATTAACTCAGAAAAATGGATTTGAATTTTTATCCGTCATCAATACTGCATTTTGTTTCTGTTAAGAATTAAATGTAAGCTAAAACATATTGATGTTACACCCATGTTGTTTTGAACTGTGAATTTATCAAAACAATAAACCATAGGTGTGATGAAATATATATCAGGTATTGGTGATATACCTATAAATACATTCCTTGTCTAATGTAACAGTTAAACGGCACAATGTCCGTGTCTCATTGTCACAAAACAGCTGTTTTAAATGTATCGGTCGCCAACAAATATTATACAAAATCAAAATCCTTTTATCTTATCCCATTCCCAGCAATCTAGTCCTGAGTATATTTAATGTATTCCACTCTTTGGCATGAATATTTTGGTAAAACTTTCATGTGAGTTTGCATTTCTTTGATCTGTTATAATGTAGATATAGGTGTAATGAGCCAGCACAAAGTCCCAGTAAATACCCGGCCAGGTTTCCTAGTACACAAGTTACCGGCCACACCTGCAATAAACACAAAATCACCAGTTAACAGCTGATAGCCAAACTTAAGAACTAATACAAAATGCATCTGTAACAACCAATAGCTACAAAAATAAATGCAAATTTCATTTGGGAAGTTTAAGCTTATAAGGTGACGGATGACAATATAAAGTATATGTCATCTTTGCTTACCGTATATTTTACAGACATTTTCATTTGTTTGAAGAAATAATTGAATTTTTTCGAAATCATGTGTTACTCAGATCAAGAATTAGTAAAAGAAGTTTTTATCCAAATTTTTCAGAATATGAAAAAAAAATTGCGGCCACTTCCTAAAAGTGAGCCAATTTATCGCCACTCACAAATGTTTTGGTGTTAGTTTGTTGTAAAATTGATGAGACATATAAGCAAACAGAGCTTCACAGCATGGAGATAGTTATAATCACTTTACAGATACATGTATAATTATATAGAAGGTATTGGGAGGAGTCAAGAGACACCACATGAACATTTAAGATATCATCAGCACAGTATTTAGGTTTTGCAGTAAAAGCACAAAATTTGTCACTAAAAACTGAAAATATTTTGTTGTTTCAAAACTCTATATAAAGAGTAACAGGAACGTGGCTAAAATGAAGTATTTCCATAATATCAGGACAGTATGATATTGGTCATAGAGGATAACAAAGGACTGTATGATATTGGTCATAGAGGATAACAAAGGACTATATGATATTGGTCATAGAGGATAACAAAGGACAGTATGATATTGGTCATAGAAGATAACAAAGGACTGTATGATATTGGTCATAGA